AAGAAAATAATAAAGAGTAGGTCAGAGATAAATAAAATAAAGAATATAAAAACAATAAACCAGATGTAGTGACGCAGTCCTATAATCCCAGAGACTTGGGAGGCTGAGGCCGGGGGCTCACAAGTTTGAGGTCAATCTCAGCAACTCAGCAAAGCCTAAGGAACTTAGCGAGACCCTGTCTCAAATAAAAATTTTAAAAAAAGGGCTGAGGAGGTTTCTCCGTGATTAAGCACCCTTGGGTTCAACCCTTAGTACATCCTCCTCTCAAAAAATGAAGAAAAATCAGTGAAACCAAAAGTTGATCCTTTGAAAAAAGTGACAAAATCAACAACTTTGAGTTAGTTCGAGTAATAAAAATAGAAGATCCAAATTACTACAATCAGAAATGACAGCTGCATATTGCTCATGATCCAAAAGAAATAAAAAGAAGTGCAAGAGCATGTTATGAAGAATTAAATGTCCTCAAACTGGATAACCTAGATAAAATATTCAAATTACTAGAAACATAAAACCTATCGAGACTAAATCACAAAGAAAAATATGAAATCTGCATGGACCTATAATTATTAGGAGATGACTAAATCAGTAATCAAAAATCTACAGACAAGCTTGGGTGTAGCAGAGTTTCAGCGTTTATTTAGCATTCATGAAGACTTGGGTTTAATCCCTATCACCAAAACCAAAGCAAAAAAGAAATCTATTAAGAAAGAAAAATCCCTAGACCCGATGACTTCACCAGTGAACTCCACCAAACATTTTAAAGAAAAACTAATATTGATCTTTTTTTCAAGCTTTTCCAAAAATATTGAAGAGGAAGGAATATTTCCTAACTCCTTCTATGAGAGCAGTATTTACCTTGAACCAAAACCAGAAAAACACTTCAAGAAAACCACAGACCGGAATCTCTTATGAACATTGACACAAATCCTCCATAAAATTCTAGCAACTCAAATTCAGCCGCATGTTAAAAGACCAATTGAGATGGATTCCTGGCATGCAAGGATGGTTCGACAGATGAAAGTTAGTCAATGCAATACGTCACATTAATAGAACAAAGGGGGAAAACTCATGATCATCTCAATTAATGTACATAAAAACTTCTGACCAAATTTAATACCCTTTCATAATAATAAAAAAATGGAAAAAACCCACATTACTGACCATATTTTAAATATGGGAAACTAAGATGCCAGAAAAGTTAAATAAATCACCTGGGTCA